TTTTTTTTTTTGAATGAGTCACATCCAAAAATCATCTTGAATGGCAGTAGTCAGCCTAACAGCTTGTCAGGGTGCTTTTTGGAGAGCCTGAGCAATGCCAGCTCCTGTGCATATCAGTAACAGCTTGGAGCCTGTAAAAAAACCATGTACAGTTGGAGCAAGAAACAGACTCTCTTTCCAAGCACTGCCCTACCTTTCCCATGCTGCATATTTTCCTTTCCAGCCTAAAATGTAAGGAGAAGCACATCCCCTTGTACCATTTTAATATTTCTAGATTTAAGAGCATTTTCAAAATGTTAAAGTACAGCTGTTCACTGTCTGCATTGGTGGCTCTTTTAGGTGTTTAACACACTTTGAAATATTAGTTCTTAGCAATATTTCTATAGAAACAGTGTTCAAGGTTCTCTTCAAGTGGTGCTCATGTGAGTAATTAATATTATGAAATCTGAACTAAATCCTACCTGGCAGGTGTTTTGCCTCTCCCACAGGTTGTATCTGATCTGAGATTTTTCCTGATGTACAGCATTTTAAGTAATGGAAGTTGGAGGACTTATTGGATTCACTTTACTTACCTGGAACCCTTGACCAGGTCTGTTGGCCTGGTGCCTTGACAAATATAACTAATTCTAGATGTCATCAGCCTTGTGGCTGCTCCCGCACACACAAGAGCTGAACACACAATCAAAGACTTTGTGTAAAGTCCTTGGCTGTAGACATTTCTGTATAGTTGTGCTCAGCTATGTATACGTCCCAGATAATACTCAGAATCAGCATAACATACTTTTTAAAGACTTACCTAGGAGGGTGTTGTCCTTGGCTAATAGCCTTCAGCCTTAAACCTGGCACAGACTCAGGGAGGAGGAGGGTTGTTGGAGATAACTATATCTGCTTTTTGGCCTCTCTGGCTTTGCCAGACCTTGAGGGGTAGATGAGAAAGGGTTTATCCACTTCTTAAAATAAAAGCTAATTCCCTCTCTGTTCAATGTCATTTCTCACCTGTAATTCCAGTGTAGAGAGAAGCAGGTTTTATAAAGAATTGCAGTTGAAGCTCCTTTGAAACACTGTTCTCTAGAAGAATCTGAGCAGATAAAGGTCGTAGCTTATTTCCCTTTCAGGGATGTAGTGCACAGAAAGTACCACGCTGGCTTTGGCAGCTGAGCTGCCAAGTCAAGTGTCTGGTACCAGAGTGCTTTGTTTCAAGTGCTGCCCAGTGCCTCCTGGATAAAAGCAAAGCACTGGCCTTAGGCTGCCAGCCATTCACACTGAGCTGCACTAGAGGAGGCCCGGAAGCATTCAGTGCCCTAAAGGGAGGAAGAAATATTCTGTGAAGTCCTTTCTCAGAGTTCTTGGTTGTTTTTCCAGCTCCAAAACTCTGTAATAGCAACAAGCAAAGAACCTCTCACTGTGATGCCCTTTACAGCCCTTGCCAGGGTTTATTTCCCAGGGAGGGCCTCGTGACAGACTGTTTTGTATTCTCTCCCCTGCAGATCCTGACAAGAAGGGAGATCTAAATTTACTCCTGACTTAAAAGACATGTGTTAATATTTTTTTCTCTAAGTTGGTTGTTTTTTTTGTTTCTTTTTCCCCCTCAGCATTGTGCAAAGGAAGATGGAGGGTATTCTGCTGCCAGCAGCATCTTGCAGAAGTGTTCCAGAATTAATAGAAGTACAAAAAACCTTGTGGCATGCCAGATCTTCCCGCCAAGTGCTGCTGTTACTGGCTTTACTGTTATCAGCTACTTAGATCATCTCCTGCAGTCGGCAAAATTCAGGAGCTGTAATAACAGCTCGTCTTTACCTGATGCATCATCAGCTCCCATAGATGAGCCTCTCAGTGAGCTCAGCAGCTTGTCTAGCCTGAGCAGGAGCTCCTGTTTTGTTCAGTCTAGTGGCAGGGACAGTTTTTTAGGGTGCTGGCAGCAATCCTTAAGTCTGACTTCATCTGTTGCTTGGGTAACAGCGGAAGACTTTCCCACTCTGGAAGTGGGAAATCTGGTGAGTGAACAGCATGAACAAGAGGAGAAGCCTGTCTCTACAGAATTGGGCAGTGTAAGCCTCAACAATCAAACTCTTTGGGACTCACAGTTTATGATCTCTTCTGTGAAGGAAGGGGATAAAGAGAAGAATAATGAATTAAGTTCACAGCTTAGTCGGACTGATGGTATCTCTGCAGCTGATAAATTGGAGAGAGTTTCCTCTTCAAACACCAAATGTTCACATGGAAACAGTTCCAAGTTGTTACAACATTCCTTGGAATCTGAGGTAAAAAACAATTACCCAAAAACTAATAGTAAAAACTATTGTTACGCAGAAAAATCCCACAACTCCCTTGTTTGCAAGAGAGATGCCTCAGCTCCTAATCATGTAAATGTAGCTGGAGTGTCTCAGATGGACTCTATATTCTGGGAAGAGCTCCCATTCTCAGAAAGCCTAAATGAATTGTTAGCTAGAATAGAGGATGGCAGGAGTGTTGTAACATCACCCAGCCCTGATGCAGGCAAATTTGTCCATCTTGAAAGTAACAAGTTGGGTGTAAATCTTAACAAATCATATTCCAAGCAAGCTGTACGTCATTTGCCTGCAGCCAGTGTGTCAGGGAGTCTCTTGCCACCAGCAGGGAATGATAGTTGGGAGACCACAGTGCTTGCTTGTCTTCAGTCAAATGCAAACCCTCCAGGTGATGTCTCACAATACGAGTCTGCCCCTAGTGATTTGTCTTCAACCCTCAAGGAAGGTGGAGCATCCTCTCCAGTTACACCAGAGCCTTCCATTTCTCAGAGCAGATGTGTGCAGCCCAAAGAAGCAAATAATGACAATGCAAATTCATCTTGGTCTTTTATTAGGCTGCATGGAGAAACCTCCTGTTCAAAAAAGAGCAAGACAGCCACCTGTGTGCATTCTGCATGTGAAAGCTGTTTAGCTTGTGAAAATAAAGAAAATTATTCTACACCAAGCCAAAAAAAGGATCTTACACTCACAGGGGCCCAGGTCTCTGATACACCAACTCCCAACAATGCAAGTATATATAAAAGAGAATTAAAACCATTGACAGAACTGTCAGATAATAGCTTTGGAAGTGTTAGTAGGAAAGAGCTGCAGTGGGACAACATCTTCCCTGAAGGCAGCTACAATGCTTCTGCTGATCTCTTTGATGCAAGTGTAAGAGATGTAGCAAAACCTGTGGAATTCTTAAATAAATCATGTAATTCTTTAATACAGGAAAATACTTTGACAGGGAAGGTCACAGCTGAATCAGTACTTTCTCCTGGAGGTGTTCCTTGTAGCAGTTCAAAACTGAGCTCACCCCTACACATGTCCCCTCAGGCTTTTAGCAAGCACAGTACACCTGTAACTTACTCCTGGGAGTCAGAATGCAGTTCAGTTTGTGCTCAGGACTTTGTTCCTCATTCACAGTCAACTCCTATGACAAAACCTCTGCAGAAACTATGGCCTGTTGGGGAAAGAAGAACTTCTATCACCCTCTTCACCCCTACAAATCCCACTAAAATCCATTCCAAAGGCAAGCGACCCCGGTCTTCCTTTCAGAACACTCTGCTGCAGCAGCTTACCGGCAAGTTAGGGAAACATGAGAGACCAAGGAACAGGAAGGACAAAGAAAGTGGTAGCTGTGCTTCCCAGAAGTTCCTTAACAGCCACCTGCCTGCCAGCTTGGAGGAGTGGATCCCTCCCTCTTCAAACAAAGGTCTGAAACCAACTGCATCTTTAAATTTAAAAACAGTTAGCTGGGCTGCTGACTTGCAATCCACTTGTGGGCACACTAGCAGGGACCCTATTTCTGAAAGCAGAAAGAACATTGAAAATGATGAAAATCCCATCCAAAATGAGAGAGTAAGCCCTGGGGATAGAGCCAGGATTCTAACAACTCCTTTATCTGCAAGTGTCACCAAGACCTCGTTTTTAAATGATCCCATCCTGAAAACTTGTTCCCCTTCAGAAGGTGAGAATCACCTCTCAGGTGGAAATTATTCAGGGGTTGTGTTGGAAGGGCCAGCTCTTTGGTCTCCTGAGCTGTTCTTCCAAGCACAGACCCGTTTTTCCAAGAAGCTGAAGTACTAGGAAAGATAACATTTCTATGCTGTGTTCTTTTTAATTTTTTTTTTAACATTTGGGAAGGATCTGGTGAAAGGAAAGAGCTATTTGAAAGTTAAATTGTTTATACACGTGTCAGCATATGTCTTGCAAAGAGGAGTTAGGTTTATATTCAGACCTTTGTACCACAGAGATGAGGGAAATTAGAATTTGTAGTTACTATATTTTCTTGAAAATTAATGAGGATGTGCAATAAACACTTTTGTAAATATGTGAGTACTGAATAGATCTCACTTCATAAAGAAGAAGTAGGTGAAGTGTTTTAATGTTCACTGTTGTCTTTTCATCACAAGAGCAGCCCTGGAATCCATGTCCACTCCAGATTCTTGCCTGATGACTCGGGAGAAGGGCCAAGTTTTTACTGAAGATTTGATGGTGCCTTTTATCTGAGCCCATTGGGATCCAGTGACAGCCTTGAGCTGGGTGAAGGGGGCCATCCTGAGAGCTTGGTAGCAGCTCCCAGTTTTCCTAAAGGCTTTTTCAAGTTAAAGACTGCCAGTGGCAGATTCCTGACAGTTTATTCCTTCTCCTTGCTTTAAGGTCTTCTGTATCCCAAATCCAAAACAGCTGCATTTAGGATCATTGAACAGAGAAATCTTGAATCTGTTGCGCGTAAGCCAGGTCCTGCAGAAGGATGTGGGAATCTGGTGACACAGGATCTGAACAGCCTGAAAATGCTGACATTTTGTTGTGAGTGAGTGTTTTAAGGTCCTGGTGTCGCCCAAGGGGGTGAAGGGGCTGCACCACATTTGTAGAACCAGAAACAGACCTAAAAGTACTTGCTATGACTTTCTTTTGAGGTATAAAATAAATACGAACCATTTACATTGTGACTAGTGACAGGGAGGGGTTACTTGGTTCCTTCTCAGCTGCAAGGTGGATGTTTTTATCTTCCTCATGTTTGAGGCCTTTTATGATTTCTACAGCATCTACTTAAGCCTCCCTCTTAGTTCAGAAGAGTTTTTTAGGAATAAGGGCATTTACTATCACTGCCCTGTTCCTTATCCATGATTTTTAGCATGGATCACCATCACAGAACATAAAGGTAAACTTTTTCAGTTTCTCAGTCTCTAGCCTAACTTCTGCAATTCTTTCAATCAAACGCTTTTCCCTTTGAGGGATGGGAAGGAGAAGGGTTTTGGAATCAAACAAGCTTCTCCTGTGGCTGAGCAGGGTATAAATGAGGTACAGCCTCTCCTGCCAAGGGTGTAGATGTGCTGAGGCTGCAGGCATTTCTGTAGGCTGACCCAAGAAAAAGTTACACATGGTTATGCAGCAGGTCTGCACAAGTAAATTCCTTCTACAAAGAAGCTTTTTAAAGTCGGCATTGGTTGGTTTGGTTATGGTTTTTTCCTCCTTATTTACAGTTGGAATCTAGGCACAGGTTCAAAGACTTGCCTGGCATTGAAAGGACATAGAGCACAGCTCTGCAGATCACTGAAAGACCTTATCTCTTCTTGCTATCCACAGCAAGACACTCCAGCACACCACGAAAGTTCTGCTGGTATTTAAGGATCCTGCAACAGCAGATGGCAGTGGAAAGAGGCGCAAGATTTCTCCTGACAGGTCCAAGCCTAGAGCTTTGCAGTCCCTGAACCCTAGACATAAACAGAAGAAAAAGAAACATCTTGTTACAGCAAAGAGAGAGACAGAAAAAATAGCAGGATTAGACATCACAATTTTTAACAATGTTTATTAATAAGCTGATTATGTTTTTAAACAGAGAGAGGGGAAATTTAGGTTAGATATGCAGAAGAAAGCCTTCACCGTGAGGGTGGTGAGGCACTGGCAAAGGTTGCCCAGAGAAGCTGTGGACGCCCCATCCCTGAAAGCATTCAAGGTCAGGCTGGATGTGGCTCTGAGCAGCCTGGGCTAGTGGAAGGTGTCCCTGCCCATGGCAGAGGTTTTGGAACAAGATCTTTCAAGTCCCTTCCAATCCAAAACCATTCTGTGGTTCTGTGACCAAGGTAACCTGTGAGTGGAGTCGCTTGCTGTCACTTGTGGTGCCAGTGACAGCAGAACACGACAGGGCTCTGCTGTAAAGGACACAGAGCTCCCTATGCAAGGTCTCCTGGCACAGCCAGAGGGACAGGACGTAAGAGCAGAAGTTGTAAGGGCTTTGCAAGCTGCTGCTGAGTTGTCCAGCTGAGCTTTAGACCAGCAAATCAGTGCACCAAAACTACATCAGGGCTGCTTCAGTCAGGGTAGGGCAGGGCTCCAGGATGAGGCCAAGTGAAAAGGCCTGGACTTGTGCCTGCATTTACCAAGTGCTGTGCCTATTGAAAAGATTTTGTACATTGCAAATAAAATCCAACTTGATGAACCCTTGGGACAAGTGGAAAAGGAGTAAGAAATGTTGCCTGCCTGGAAATTACCAATCTGCATGTACAGCTTATGTAGAAGCATTGAAATGAAAGATTCATATCTAAATCACTGAGCATAGGGAAGGCAATACAGAAAAGGTTTGAAGACATCATAACACTTGAAACCAGTTTTTTCTACTACAGCACATAATAGGGTACTGCAGTTACCATTGGCTCTTTAAGCACTCCCTTGTGATGAACTGGACAGATACCCACTCAATCACCAGGAGTTAGAGCTGATCCAAGTGAGACACCAGAGACTTGAAGCAGCTGGCTATGAAACACTGCTAGAGCTTCTACATCATATACCTGATAGCATCTTGACATGAAATGTTTCGTCCAGCATGAGTGATTTTTTTTTCAGCAGACAATTCATCCATATACTGGGGTAAGTGATAGCTTTGGTGCAGGCTGATGTGATTATAATTATAAGCTTGTAAAAAAAGACTAAAGCTCGGCATGTTTAATTCTGAGGGTAATAAAACTCCTGAAAATGCACACTGGGTTTGTGATTGATTCCCTATGCATAGAAATCCATAAATCAAGACCAGATTTTAAATTGGGCAGGACTGTCTGTGCCATACCATTGAAATTAAAGCAGGGCACTCAGATCTCCTGTGCTTTGTGCGAGAGGACAGCATACTGAGTGAGAGCAAAAACTGTGGTTGTGTGACAGGCCCCTGTCAGCAAGATGACATCTTCTGGGCAGAGCTCCCCACATGCTCGGTAGGGAGACTTTGACCCTGAGAGGATGGAAGAGAGGTAGAAAAAGCTCTCTTGCTTTGGCTCCTGTAGTCAGTCAGCCTTGCATGTCTTCCCCTGGGCAGCTTGTTCCCTTTTTGCAGGGAGCCTTTGTGTGCTCCCGTTCCTTTCACCCTCAGCAAAGCCTGGCACAGGCTGTACCCTTGCTGCTACACCTGCTGAACATGAAGGTTGCACATCCCACTGGTTACATGCTCCTTGGAAGGAAGAGCACTCTTCATCTGCCCCTTTCCTTTCCCCAGGAAGAATTTCATCTGTTTTCTCCAGCCTTCATCTCCAAAAGCAATACACTCCAGCCCTTCTCTCTTTCAGTAAACATTCACTTCCCAAGAGGTCCAAGTATCTGAGGGATGTTTCCTTCCCCTCCCTTTGCCTCGTACCTACCTAGAAGCATACAGACTTTTCCCTATCCAAATACTTCTCTGCTCTCCCTGACTCCAATTGCCAGCTTCCTGGGGAAGGAAGAGCAGATGGTCCAGCCCTCGTGTCAGACACTTACCAAGGAAGGAGCTTCAAGGTCAGTGGAAAAGGCAATAAAAGACACATGGTGTCTTCAAGCTCCACAGCTCATTTCTCAGTGTTAGCAGGAGTCATCTTTGATGTGGGGCACAGCACAGGGGAGGAAACCTGATCCCAAGAGGAAGTCGGAACATAAACTGAAATGTATTTACCAAAAGACAAAAGGCTTAAAATGGGCGCTCTTGTCCAAAAGGATTTTAGGCCTTGAGGAAGGCAGGTCACTGGGACACTCCAGTGGAGTTCAGTGGAGGATGAAAACAGCAAGTTGAAGGCTGAACAGAAGGAATAGCATTAAAAAAAGCCAAAAAATGACTAGGTCAAAGAATAAAAGACAACCAAAGCATCCAACCATCATCCAACATTTATCCTACACAAATCCAGCATCTTGCATCTTGTGGCAGGTTAAACTCTTGTTTAACCTGCCACAGGTTTGCAAGGTCAGTGAGTGACGGTGCCTCTATGAAAGGCCACCCTCTAGTGCCCGAGGAAGGCATTTTTTTGGCATTTCAAATCTCTATAATTTCTCCTATTTTGAGTATTTTTTTCTCTTTTACTGCAAAAGGACCTTGCTCCCATGGGCAGCAGCTCTACATCTGCTCTTCTTGTGAAGTCTCAGTATGCTGCAAGAGCCTCAGTATGCTCAGCCCAAGCAGAAAATCCTCAGTAGCCATTCATTTGGTGGTCTAATGTCAAATGATGTCAATTGAACGCTTTGTATTTGAGGCAATTTTGCTTTGTAGTCCAAATCACAAACCAAACAAATCAAACACTTTAGACACCAAGTGGAAAGGATTAAACGTTTATTTACATACAGATACACATGTAAGCAATTTCTAAGTATAAAAAGGACATTACAAATAAATGTGAAGCATCATACATTCATCATCTTGGTCATCCAAAACACATTCCTTTCTCAAGCCCACTGTACCACACTTGACCACAAGAACTTAAAGAAGAGACAAGCCAAATGCTTCTGACAGTGAATGAGTCACATTTTGGTGATTTGCTAACACCTATACCTTCCCCAAAGACAGCACTACCCCACCAACGAGATCAATTGTCTGACCAGCTGTAGTGCATTTTCTCCACTGAAATGGTTGTGCTTGATCAACAAAAACCACATTCTCTCCTCATCTTTCTGGCCAAATGTTTAGGAATGAGGGCTCTTGCTAAAATTCTGTACATTGTGCTAAATTCACAATTGTTGGGGAAAAGACAGCAGACCTTTGTGGGAAAAACTCCAACACTGAAAATTCCTTTAATGCTGTGAATTCCCTGGCAAGGAAATAAAAAAAAAATGCTGCTGTTAGTGCTTAAGCAGATTTTTAAACTACAATCCAAACTATAGTTGATGGTGTAATATATACTTTGTTCATGCTGTAAAAGAAATTACGTGTTTCAATGTTGATTTTATATAATCAAAGCTGAGGGTAATTCAGGTTTTCTCCTGAGGAAAGGAAGATGCCTTTGTAGCATCTCTAAAAATTATCATAGCTTTCAGGAAAGAGGAAATGTTTTAGATTCAAAAGTCTTAAGGTAATGCAGAGCATGACAAACTTGTCAGTTAGATAACATTACAAAGGGAAACAAGCCAGTAAACATAAAATTAAAATGCCTACTCAAAGCATTAATGAATTCAAATGAGAACGGGGTGATTCTTTCTGTATAGATCAAAAGCAGTTTAAAAAAAATCTCATGATCTGCAAATTCACAGAACAGCCAAATATGTGCAGCAGAACAGAGTGAAGTGGAAATAAAAGGGTAGAAAGAGCCTTGTTCCACATTGACAGCTGAGTGACTACAGCTGCTCCAATCTCAGGGTTTGTTTTTTTTTTTCCTTTTGTAAACAGCTGTGGAGAATAAAATGGATGTGACATATCTGCAGTGCATCTTATTATGCTAAAAACTATGGCATATTTTAAACTACTTCCCTAATATCCAGAGATATACTTGTCACTCCCAATCAGCATAGTAACAAGCACTGGGCTTGCTCCATACTCTCATTAGAGGGCCTTCTCTCCACTAAAATGTTGGCTTCAGAAGATAGTTTTTTCCCCCTTCAGTGCTGGCTGTGGGTGGGGGTGAGTGGTAACCCTTTCTTCCCAACAGTCTGTAAGAACTGAGGCAATGGCAGTGCCTGAAATCATAGCAGCTCTCCCCACCAGAGACCAAGTATTTTATTCCCCCCCTATTAAAAAACAAAACTGGCATTTCCTCTCCTCTGCTTGCCCTTCTGTAAAGACTCAGCTGCTGGGACACTGCAGGACACTGCATTTACGAAAGCTCAGTGGCAATGATGCAACCCCAGCCCCCAGAGACATTCACAGCACCCCACCTCCCAGTGACAGCTCCTCCTCCACACCACCCCAAGTCTCACTGGATGGAGAGCAGCACCCACCTACTCACTAGAAAGCAACTCATTTGCACCAAACTCCCATAAATTCTTAATGTCTGAATCTTTTTTATTTGTCCTGTAAAAAGGGAAATATTCCTTACAGGGTGTCCTGGCTGGAAGGGGCTTATTGAATTATTAACTTTATGTCCATAGTAAAAAGCTTGAGGTGGCACAAAAAATGAGTCTCTGCTGCTCTTCTTTGCAACTGAAGCAGGAGTCAGATCTAGTGTTTCACGCAATCAGACCATCCCTCCACAGTGCTTGAGGCATGAGCAGTAATTAGAGAAGAGCAGACTCATTGATTAGAGGTACTAGAGGAATCAAGCTATGAGAAGTGCCAAGGTTTGCATTCGTGTGACACCAGACACTCCAGAGCCCTTGACTGCTGCCCAGGAAAGCCTAAGAATACTTTTAACATCCCCTCTGCCCCAGGGAACTGCACAGCTAAAACCATGACGGACACAGGTTTTGGCCATATCATTTTTTGCCTGAGGACCAGGCATTCAGAAAATGCTCACCAGGGACACCACCACTGTACTCACGAGTGTGCCTGTCCTTGAGACTGTTATCCCAAGATAAGCATAAGTGGAAAAAGCAAAGGTGCAAATGTAAAACTGGCATGTGTTTTTGAGTAATACTGTAGCACTAACCAGAGCTATAATTATCTTCTGAGCTTATTGGAAAAGGATAATTTGTTCAAAAAATGTGGTCACATCCACCAAGTCCTAATTGCAAGTTATTAATGTGAAAACAGAGACAATCTCCAAGTATTCTAAACCTGGCTTCTGTTCATCCAGACAGGTAAACTGAGCTGCTGATCCTGGCTATGCTCTTAAACAAGTCTAATTTTTTTACTGACCACATGTACAGCCTAAATTACGCCCATTGTCACCCCATTTTCTGCACTGACTTATCTTCCCCTAATTATCCCACTGACTGCATTTGAAGGGGCAAGCTTTAGAAATGAGGCTTTTTTTCTTGATATGTAGTTCCCACTGGGAAAGAAACACACACCTGTAACTCACATGGCATAGCTTTTACTTGTGGTTTAAGTTACAGCTTGTTCACATGAGGAGAAAGGTTGTGATGGCATCCATGAGTGACAACAGCTGGTGATCTATCCCAGCTGGATATGGTTCAGTACATCAAGGGCAGCTTTGGGTCAGGAGAGCGAGGTGGTGATTAGAAAGGTAAGTCAGAGAAGGCAGCATGCTGCTTTGGGAGCCCTGGCCCTGCTGTCTGCTTTCCCAGCCAAGACAAATCCTCAACTGAGGCAGATGTGAGGTCAGTAACATTTATGGTACATTTAGCTACAGCTCAAGTGGATGATTGCATCTCAAAGACATCACCACTTCCAGTTGAGGCTGCTCTGCTTAGGATGCACTGCATGCTCATAAGAAATCAAGCTATTGTTTCACCACCATTCATCATCATAAGACAAGACTGTCCTTCAAAATTATGATCCCTGAACAGCAGTTACAACAATTATCCACAGCAACAAGAGGATAGAACTGATGCCAGGAAAAGAGTGATGTCAAACCCAAAATTTGTTGAGATAACAAAGTTTATAAAAAGAGGAGGAAAATATGTTGATTTAACAGGGTTTTCACTAGTAGAATGAATGAGAGTATTTCCTTTGGCTCCAGGGAGTTTTCTGGTGAGCCCTTTAATGTACAGAGACATTTAGAAAAGGATGGAGAGTTTCCATACTTGCTTACTTGGAATTCACAAAATATCCTCTAGAAACACCTTTTTCTAACTGAATTTCTACCTGAATTAACTCAAAAAAGGACTTCGTTGGTAGAGTTGGTAGGAGCCAATC